CCCTGGTGCCCCGCGGGCGGTGGGCCGTGGCCCGTGCTGGGTGAGGGGCGCTCTTGCCGGCGCTGAGCGGAGCTCTTGCAGGCAGTGTCCTTGTGCTCGAAGTCCGGCCCTTCCCGGGGCCGGAAGCTGACGCTGTCGGCGCTGGGCGTGCTGGCGGCCGGCGGTGCGGGCCTGGCTGTGGCCCTGCATTCTGCTGTCAGCGCTAGTGACCTGGAGCTGCACCCCCCCAGCTATCCGTGGTCGCACCGTGGCCTCCTCTCCTCCCTGGACCACACCAGGTGTGCAGCTCACTGGCTCGGGGGAGTTCGGGGTGGATCGGGTGGGGTGGCATCTTTGACGCCCCTAATCCTTTCTCTCTCTCCAGCATCCGTAGGGGTTTCCAGGTATATAAGCAAGTGTGCTCTTCCTGCCACAGCATGGATTATGTGGCTTACCGCCACCTGGTGGGCGTGTGCTACACGGAGGATGAAGCGAAGGCCCTGGCTGAGGAGGTGTGGGGGTCAGGAGATAAGGCGGGCAGGGCTTGGGGCGTCTGCTATAATGGGACTGCAGGATCCTGACCCTGCTCTCCGTGGTAGGTGGAGGTCCAAGATGGCCCCAATGAAAATGGGGAGATGTTCATGAGGCCAGGAAAACTGTCTGACTACTTGCCAAAACCGTATCCCAACCCGGAGGCTGCCCGAGCCGCCAACAATGGAGCCTTGCCCCCTGACCTCAGCTACATCGTGAGAGCTAGGTACACGGCCTGTCCACAGGGTGGGGCTGGAGAGAAGGAGAGGAGAGGTAGGGCTGCCTGTGCCAGAGGCTGAGGAGTCATGGATCTGGTTCCAGGCACGGTGGTGAGGACTACGTGTTCTCCTTGCTCACGGGCTACTGTGAGCCACCCGCTGGGGTTTCACTACGAGAAGGTCTCTACTTCAACCCCTACTTCCCCGGCCAGGCCATTGCCATGGCCCCTCCCATCTATAACGAAGTCTTGGAGTTTGATGATGGTGAGTTTTTCAGGAAGCCCTTTCCCATCCCCAAGGATGCTATCTCCCTGTGTTCCTGGTCCTGCCTGTGCTGCCCACTTCTCGTTTAGGCCCATCTGAGCAAGCTCTGGAGTCCTGGCACTCTGAAGCCTTGGGTAGGGCCGGTCCGCCTCCGTGGAACAGGTAGCTCTCACCGCTGTCCTTGTCCCAGGCACCCCCGCTACCATGTCCCAGGTTGCCAAGGATGTGGCTACCTTCCTGCGCTGGGCATCTGAGCCAGAGCACGACCATAGAAAACGCATGGGCCTCAAGGTGTGAAGGGTTGTGGAAGGGTCACAGTTGGCACCTGAGGGGCTGGGTGGGTCCTTCCTGCCTCCCTCTTCTGAGCCTGCTTTGTCCTTAGATGTTGATGATGGTGGGCTTGCTGCTGCCCTTGACATATGCCATGAAGCGGCATAAGTGGTCAGTCCTGAAGAGTCGGAAGTTGGCATACCGGCCACCCAAGTGAGCCTCTCCAAGGCTGGCTTCCTTCTTGCCTGAGCAGACCCTCGAGCCCAGGAGCCATCCTAAGGCATGTTCAGGCCTCAGCTGCTCCATGTGGCCCAGCCCATCTTTATTTGGGACAAGAGGGGGAAGGAGACCAGGCTCTCACTCCAGATCTTCCTTCAGCCCTCATCATGGAAATAAATTAAGTTTCTCAACATTCACCTTTGCACTGTTCTGTAGTAGGACTGCATGCTTTCAGGGGACTCTGGGACTAAGACCTGTACCCCGTGTGTCTAGCTGTGCCCTGTCCAATATCTGAGTCCAAAACAGTGGTGAGTGTGAGATGAAAACCAGAAAACTGAGCCAGGCGCTGGTGGCTCACTTCTGTAATCCTAGCTACCCAAGAAGCTGAGATCTCAGGATTGTGGTTCCAAGCCAGCCCAGGCAGGAAAGTCCATGAAACTCTCTTATCTCTACCCAAAATGGCTGGAAATGGAGCTGTAATTCCAGTGGTAGAGCCCTAGGCTTGAACAAAAGCAGCTCAGGTACAGTGCCCAGGTCCTGAATTCAAGCCCCAGGACTGACACAAACACAGGAAACAAACCTGGCTGTTAGGCTGCAGTGCTCAACAGGGTGGGTGTGACCTGGCACAGAGGTATAAAGGTCACGGCTCAGTCGTCCATGATCCAGGGACTGCTTGGATAAACAAAGTGTCAGATTATTGGACCAATCTGCCTCCATACTGAGGGCTATATCCCAGCAAGGGGAATACTGTAGATGGCTTAGCAGAGCTGAGTGGTATCTGGAAAGGGGGCTGGGTCAGACAGACAAACCTTGGTATATTTCCCCAGCTTTGACCGGATAGCTGGAGGGTCACGTGAGTGTATGTGGTGTTGGGGCCTACTGTATGGAGTGACACATAGTGGTCCAGATACCGGGACCAGGCTTGACACAGTGTCTGAGAAGACAGCAGAAGATGGTGTGGAGGCACGGCAGCAGTAGTCTGCTGTCGGGCTCATGACTTTTTTATCTTTTTGCCAGATTTGGGCCTGGGCGCTGTCCCTCAGCTCTTCAGCTCAAGGCTGGTGCCCTACCACTTGAGCCACAGTGCCACTTCTGGCTGCTTCTGCTTATGTGGTGCTGAGGACTTGAGCCCAGGGCCTCATGTATGCAAGGCAGGCACTCTACCACTGAGCCACCTTCCCAGCCCCATGGTTCACAACTCTTTTTTTTTTTGGGGGGGGGGGTCCGGTCGTGGGGCCTGAACTCTGGGTCTGGGCGCTGTCCCTCAGCTCTTCAGCTCAAGGCTAGTGCTCTACCACTTGAGCCACA